TATTCATAAATTGATTGTTAACAAAGTTATCAAATGGGCAACATAATTATTATACGTTAACGTTGGGGCTTCAGGTGAGCTTATAAATGTTCGCCTATTATCTTCTTTAATAAATTATATATTCAAAAAACTAAAATATAATTAATTTTATTAATTAATAAACAGCTTTAAAAAATATTTTGAAAATGACGATTTAAAAAAAATATATGTTTTATATGTTTAATAGATAATAATAGAAGAAAGAAATTAACGGGACACATTGGAAAAAAAAGTATTATAAGTAAAAAAAAAATATATTTTCTGTAATAAAAGTCGTTATTTATTCATTCATTCGATATAAGAAAGAGAGCGTACTAATGACTGAGAATAACTGCTCTTTTTACGAGTGATGAATGATGAGATGAATGTGTCATATTGATTTATAAGTTTTGGCACATCTTTATTCACGATTAATATGCAAGTGAAGAGTAATGGGCAACTCTGCTCAATGGCCACTATACACCGTTGTATTCATTTGCTTCGCATTAAGTCATAATTAACGTGTTTTAAATGCCAACTGTTAACGAGCACGAAAACTTATTGGGATACCCTAACATCCTTATCAACGACATGGTCACAACACACATGTAACGTCCGTTGAAGAGTGAAAAGGAGCTGGATGAGGGACCTCCTCGCCTAATGTAGATATTAAGCCAGGAGGAGGTTCCGCTAGGTTCTTCTTCCACTCATGCCTTCCATGCCGTTACATTTTGCAATTCCATCAAATTCACTCATTGTCAATATTATTTTTTGACAGGTTTGAATAAAAATTGCAAGTTAAAAAAAAATTGTTGCGAGATAATTATAATCAATATTATTAACAATGTTTTTTGTGATTTATTGTTATAGATAAATTAAAAAGTAAATGAGAAAAGTTGACCGAAACTTTGTTATAACGTAAATAAAGAGTAACATTATAAGGGTTATCGATTCTTAAAAACACAATATAACAGTCAATTAATTGCCCTTGAAAAACATACTACTGGAAGTATCTAAATATATATTTGATTATTTTCTTAAAGTTAGAATATAGCAAGACTGTTTTGTAAGATATAGGCCATGGGCAGTTATCTGGGAACTTCTTACGCCAAGCCCAATATCGGGAAAGTAGAGAGCCCCATCAAATTATAAATATTGCAGTAGGTAGGGATTGGTCGATACTAAATATTGCTTTCTCTGCCTCTAATGCGTTTATTGCCTCAAGCAGTTACCCTATCTGGTTCTTATATTACCAATTCGTTCTACTTGAAGTATCTGAAGACCTCTCAAAGCTTCTTTGTGATTTAACGCTTCACTTGCATTTCACAGGATGTGTAAGGTAAAAGTAACGGTTAGTGGTTCTGTGAAATCACGAGATCAGTAAAATTCCTCAATCGTTAACAGTTTAGGAAAGAAACGCTTACGACCTGCCAATTTAAGACAACAAAGTAATGGGGGAAAACTCTGATATATTTTTAATTAATTTAAGGAAAATAAATTGATATTTTATTTTTTTTTATGCCTAATAACATATTAAAAATGTCAACAAAAAAATTAAACAATGCCAACAAGTATAGAAATACATATATACACAGTCTATTAGTAAATATATAGAAATTTACAACCTTTCAAAATAATAGTAATGGTGTTAGCCCATATAAAAGCATTATTACTTTTGGACGGTATTTGCAAATCTGTATCATCTATATTGTTATTTCTCTATAATGTTGTTCATTTGATTTGTTTAAAAAGGATCCGTAATTGAATTTTTAAGATTTTCGTTTATTTTTCCTATTGTCATAATTGCATTTTAATTATTTAATTTATATACATGTATAAATGCATTAGATATATGTTATCAACTACTAGTTGAGCGCATTATATATTACCTCCTGGTTTAACATATTAATAAACACACTAACAGTGTTATTGTAACATAATTTATATCACATCATAGTTTATTTTTTGCTATTTTCATAGCTCCCGGTACAGACTCCTTTTCACCATATTATTAACATCCGTTTAAAACTTCGTCAATTGATTTATTTTATCGTAAATGACAACATTTTTATTTACGGAAATTCTTGACAAATTTGCGTTTTCAAAATGTATATCGGTAACTTTGTCTATTTAATGAGATGCTACGAACTCAATACCCATTTTATTTTCACTTGAATCGTTAGATATGATAAAAAAAATCGTGAAAAAATGTGGCCGACAAACCCGTTTTTTTTGGCGTGATATCCATCCCCAATATATCAAAATAACAAGGTTATAAAGGCCAATATTTTTAAGGCCATCTTTTTTTCTCGATTTTGTAGTTAAACTGTGGTACATTATGGAAAGCGAATTGGTATTCATAAGTTTTTAGTACCTCATTAAATTAATCGATTTAATTATCAAACCCTCCATAAATTACGATAAAATGAAGTCTTAGATGGATGTTAATAATCCGATAAAAAGTACAGCAGACTATCTTAACTGAATTTTAACAATTTTCATTAATAATTTGCATAAGGTATAAAATATTACAACACATACACAGACTAGAATATGTATATATATTAGGGAGTTGGTACTTAGTATTTGAATCCTTTCAATTATAATCTAGTCTGTGTGTATATATATATATATATATATACAGTATATATAAAAGGGTGAAAAAAAAACGGTGCACCATCAATTTTACATAATATTAAACAATTATTTTTGAACCTAAAGTGATAACAGGTATATGACAGGTCAAGGGGGATTACTGTACATTAATCTTTTCGATAAATACTCATGATTCTTTCTATAATTAAAGATACAAGTATTAAAATAAAATGCGGACCAAATATCAGGTAAGTTCCAGTTGCCAGCCCAACCACATTGGTTTTGCGTTTGTATTTTTTTTTTTAAACTACTTTTCATTTGTATCAAACATTTTCAAGTTAAAAATGGATTTGGATCCCGTGGCAATCGCTCAGATTATTGCGTTAATTGATAACGGCCGAGATCGTTCTTGAGTCCACGGATTGCCGAGCGGATTGACGTAACGGTTTGGCGAGCAGTCCTGAGGAACCAGAAGACAGGACCCTACGCTAGGAGGCCGCGATCTAGCCATCCAAGATCGAGAGGTCCAGCTGATAAGCACTTCATTGCTATGCAGACCCTTAGAATCAGCTACCAGACTTCAGTTGAGACTTATCATCGATTGTGTATTGCTTGGGAAGTGGATGTCAGAGCACACACAGTAACAGAATGCTTGCTGAACTCAACCTGCACACTTGGGTTCCCGCTTGTGGTTCTCTACTCACCGCAATACACAGAGAAGATCGCCTCCCCTTTTGTCGTAAAAACGCTGCATGGACAGAAGATGATTTGGCCTTTTTTCTGTTTTCCGGCGAGTCCAGGTATAGCTTTTAAGACGAAGTAAGAGCAATTAGTTTTTTAATTGAGAAGTAAGTTATTAGCTCAGTGCAATGAAGCTGGATAAGTACAGTTCTTAGGAGAGTTCTTGATGGTTTGGAGTGGAATATGTTCAGAGTACAGACCTCAATGTGTTACAAAGGCCGATGCTCAATGTACCTTCACCCACGAGGAATATATGGTACCTCTTGTTTGACCTGTTTATCGCCTTTCATTTTCTTTTTATGCAGAATAATGTTAGGCCGCACATTGAAAATGTACGGAACTATTTAGATGAGGTTAGTGTCCGCACCTTGAAGTGGATAGTACGCAGTCCGGACTTCAATTCTATTAAACTTCGGAACTAATTAAGAACGTTGACTCGTCGACAACAGAACCCTCCATGTGACTTCCAAGTGCATGAAATGAATCAGATTGAAGATCGGGTAACCACTTTATTCGTAGTATACCTACGAGAGTACAGGCTGTTATTCAAGAAAAGGGAGGGAACACTAGGTACTACCGACTCAGATTTCATAATTAATAAGAATCAGAAGCGTTTTATTTTTGTTTAAAGGAGTGATCATTTGCTTTATTTCACATTACGAGTTTTTTAATGAATTTTCCCTTTGTTTATTTGATTATTGTTTCCCTTTATTGGTGGTCTTCTACAAACAGAATATGTCAAACTATATTTAGGTTTAAAAAAATGCATTTTTTTTTTCTGTTGGGAAAGAAATAATGACAAAATTTAAGGTGCTCAGGTTATCATGACCGCTATTTATATATGCCATTTTATTTATATTTGTATACAAATATATCAGATATATGGTATTAATTACTTTTTTTTTGGGTCCTCCCCTTCCTCGCCGTTAAGGCTATACGGGGTTTTCCCGGGCCAGGTGGTGTGGGCGGGGATTTAGAAGCCCCTCGGGCACCGGGACGCGAACTCGTGGCTAATTTTATATCATTTGTCTAGATATCAGTCGTTGCCGTCTAGTTGTCTAGTTGCCGGGCAACGGCGGTGCAGTGCACACGCCTTAGCCCGTTCGGCTACCCCGCCCACAAAAAATTAGTGTAACCAATATACTTTTGCATTAAACTCTTCTAATTTTTCATTCAGACTTAGTTACGTATTAGTATTAAATATTACCTACTATTTTGATACATTAGTAAAGACAATAACAGTAAGTTATTGTTAATAGACCAAGTTTCCACCTGGATGAGATTGATGAAAAATGTGAAAACAAGCAAAAGGTTTTTATTTCTTTTATTTCGGAGCAAACCAATTGCAGATTTTTATTTGATAATTTTGAATTGACTAGACGTAAAAAATTAAGTAGTTGTGGAACAAATCAAAAATTATTTTAATAGTACTATTGTAAACCTTAACTAAGAACTGAAATTTTTTCTGCTATTGAATACAATTTCAATATAGACTTCTCCGGTGGTTTCAATCTTTTTGTATTTTGCCCACGTGTTAGCTTGCTTGGAAACCCGCAGCCCATTGCTATGTGTGTCATGATTTAAAATAAATAACAAAGTTCTGTCAATATTTTTTTAATTGAGGAGTTTTCTAAAATATTTTCCAGACGAAGGTGAGGATCAGGCAGAGGTAGAAGAAGCAGTGACGAAAATCCAGGCAGTGTTCCGAGGTCACAGGGTCCGCAAGCAAATGGCATCAGGAGAACCAACTAAGCAACAGCTAGAGGCTGAATTCAGTGCCGACGATAAAGGTTTTTATATTTTATCATTATCTGTATCATCATTATCATTATAAATACTGACATAACTTAGAAATAATGATTCGAAAGATCCTAAGGTTAGATACTTATTAAATTAGCGAACTTAAATATATTTAATTCATGTGTCCTTAAAGCTGAGTCCGTATTACAACTCTAATTTTGTCCAATTGGCGCTTAATAAACATCCAAGCAAGGATGAAAAATCATATGCCTAATTTTAAACAATGATATTTTTTTAGCTCTGAATATGTAGAATATTACTAAAGTAAGTTTGGTATTGAACTCAAGATCATTCATCGGTTGTACTGGTACAGATCTTTTTTTTATTTATAGAGTTTAAATTATTAATGTTTTTTTTATTTTTCCCAAACGAAGTTGTCCAATTTTTCATAAATTTATTTATCTCACGCCTCACAAAATTTACGGTTCAGCAAAAAGACTCAATTACCCAAATTACAATTTTTTCGATCTAAAATTGTAAGACTAATAACTGTAGCCCCCTGGTACATCAACAACAAATTTTACATAAACATAGACATAGAAAACCAACTATGGACCAGTATATACGTACTCTTTTCTCCCGATTTCATCTTAAACTACACGGACATCATAACACTTTTCAACGACATGGCCACGGATGACATGTTCATCAGAAGGCTTCTGAAAAGGAGCTGGATGAGAGATCTCCTTTCCTGATTTAAGAATGTGAACAGACCAGGGAATAGGTGCTATTGGGTACTATTCTTCATTGTGCCTATCATTTTGGAACGTAACAACAAATCTGATAATTGTAACTACCACGAGAGGTTCGGATGGAGATATGAGGATAAAAAAAATTCTCTTATACCTAAAAAAAAAAATAAAATATTTATTGATTTTTATTATAAAAACATTTACTAATTTATGGAATACTAATAATCAGCTTCGTAATTTTTATGAGGAACAATTTAATTTACAAGACAATTCCTAACCCTTGGAGTAAGATAGGTCTTAGCTAAAGTGACAGAACGCTGTTAAAGCTGCTACTTAATCAGTATTACGCCTGGTAAGGGAACAACGCCTAAGCTCAGTGGTTAAGTTAAACCAGCAAGACATAACTGTATTGCAAGTATGATTGCTAAAAGCGCCGATTCATCTTCTGTCTTGATAGCTCACAAAATATCTGCTTTATAACAATGGTTTATTATTATTATGGTATTATGGTAATAATGGTCTTCCCACTTATTTTTAGATCTCCAATTACCGGTTTAAATTTGTATTTAATTATTTATATTGAAACTTTTCTTAGCAAACATTGTAAAGGCTTCATTCTACTTAAAAACCTGTACCACTACAACCAATGATCTTGAGATCAGTACTTTGTAAGGAAGTATTAATTTATGGCCAACAATAGTGCAGGGAGTGATCTTGTTAATAACACTGAGGATATCAGGCACGCCATATAGTTCAATTAGTTAGGCGTTGTTTCTGATTCTCCGCAGATGCTGCTCTCTGTCGGCTCCAAAATTCTTCTTTAGGACTCTTCTATCCCAGACCAGCAGAACTCTCCTGTTTTTGTAGGTCAGAGTCCAAAACTCACTGCCATACACAATATTCTTATCACCGATCGGTATATTACAAGCTTTGCTTTTTTGAAGACTTTTGAATCGGAGCATCTTTTGAAGAGCATAGAAACATCTAATTGTTGCCACCAGTTTTTTTTTTTATTTCGGTTTTTAAATTACTGTCTTCCGTCATTACTTTCTCCAGGTAATTACAATTTTTCACAGTTACAAAACTTTTGTTCTCCGAATTCAACAATATTTCCTCTCTTCCTTGTATGTTCAGATGTTTTCATGTGCCTTGTCTTCATGGTAAAAACTGGAGTTCTCAGTCTGAAGCTGGCCTGCTTTAACTTTTCTACAGCACTGACTAGTCCTGCTTTAGTTCTGCCAGTTATAACAAAGCCATCAGGATCCGGCATATGCTGCGTGAGCTTATTACAGCCACCGGAGTTAGTTCTAATTTTTCAAATTGCCACTTCTAAGGCGAGGTCAAATAGAACAGATGATAATGTGTTTCTGTAACCTGTGACCTGTAACCAATAACCAGCCTTTAGCTACTGTTAACCTCAAAGCTATCCGATATGTCCACCTTGACCTTGCAACTTGTCCTTTCCAAGGTCATCCTCTTCAATCGCATTACCTTAGTAATTATCCCCCGTGACTGTAAAGGCTCCAACAGCTTATTTCTGTTAACACTATCATATGTCTGCCAGAAGTTAACGAATAGTATTATTTGTCCGCTTATAATAGTCTACTATATTGTAGTATTCGTTTTTATTTTTAAAAAATGTTTTTTTATGCTGTACTATAAAACATTTAAAAAATTACATGAATACTATTCTTGTCATTGTTCTAAATTTGAAACAATTTTAAATTTTTCTAATGTGAAGTTTTTTTTTTCATTTCTGCTTACTTCTTTTTCTGACAAATAGTAAATTTAAATGTATTATTTCTGACGTACCTAATTACATAAATTTAATTTGAAAATTCATAAAAAAATATAACTTTCTTATAATAATAAGAAAATTTAACATTTTTATAAAATATCTAAGTCTGCCAAGAATAGGGTTAATGATCATATTCCTGCAATAAATATAAAATAAATATTTTATTTGCAGAGATGGTGCATGCTGCCACTAAAATCCAAGCGACTTTCAGAGGACATATGTCTAGGAAGAAGGACGACGAAGTGCCCAAGGTATTTCATAAAAAATGTTCAATATATATTCTGTTGTTATATCATTATTTTTCAGAAAATATTATATTATTTTTCATTTTTTTCTCAAATATTCATCAAAAGAATTCTACATTTTAAAGAAAATATAACTGACGGAAATACTTCTATAAAACCGACTATTTAATCCCCATTAGAACGTTTAGTAACAATAAAAGGATACAGACATTTTTTATCTAGACACTGCCACAAAATTCCGTGGTAAGAAAAAGTGTGATTGTTTAACATGACGAAAGTTAAAGATATTTTGAATTCATTATTTTTTCATATTCCCATTATTCAGCTATACGAATGATCACTCGTCATCAACAGTGATCATTTACTTTATATTGACTATTAATGTTGCTTGTTTTCTGTTCACCGTCACGAAGATAAACTAAGATTTGATAACATTAGCTTGTCATGAATAAGGTATTAGTACAGTAATGTATTACTGATCTGCGTTATAAGTAATGGACCATGATACCACATTGTTAACTTTTTTTTAATTTATGATATGATATTATTATATTAATATGATATTATTAATACAACATTATTAAGAAAAAATACATTCAGTTAATGTGATAATAGAAAATAAAAACATGAAAACACTTTTTGAGAAACTACCCACTGGTAGGACTCTAAAAAAAGAAAAAAAAATGTATTTACAATAGAAGATCTCGAGGCCATCTTCTTTTCAGACGCCTCGGAGGGTTTGAGAAGTGATCAGGGATTGGGGAGGAAGCAAGGTTAGAAACGAGAGGGTTCGGATGGTTCTGAAGTTTATTTTGGAAGGACAGGTATCTGGATTGAACCGTTTCGGAAACATAAGGAAAATTAAGGTCTTTATGGATCATTATATTAGTGAAAAAGTAAGGTGCATTGAGGATTTTACGAAGGATTTTGGATTGAATACGTAAGGAATTCGATGGCTTTGTGGATCCCCAAATCTCAACTCCGTATGTCATAATAGGTCTTATTGTAGTCATGTATATGAGTCTTTTATAATTAACTGAAAGCTTAGAGCGTTTGTCTAGTAAATGCCGGAGTGGTCGGAAACGTCGAACGGTTTCTTGTCGTTTAATTCTGGTATGAGGATTCCAAGTTAGACGTTTGTCCAAGCTATCGGATTTGTTCTACAGGGAAAAGCGGGGTATTATTAAAGGATACTGTAGGACAGCAAGTCATAGGTTTACGATCGTTAACTTTAAAATAAATTATTAGTAAATAATGTGCTATAATTATATCATTTTAAAAAATGATCTGATGTGCTTAATTGAAAAAAAAATCATTGAAAATGACTCTCATAACCAACAATTTCAAACCCGTTATTCAATTTTAATTTGTCACAAAAGCAAAATATAAAATCAATCACTCTACTTTTCATGAATGCTAAACAAAAAAAATAATTAAATAGCTTAAATTTCTTTGTTTCATTCTAGACAAATGAGATCCACTCATCACTGACATTTTATTCACGATTCGAGTACTATTGTAACGGGATTAATATGAATGATTAATTACTATAACTCAAGTACAAGATTCCAAACTCGTTTTGGTTCAGGTTTCATAAGCGATCCGTGGAAGCCATTAGCTAGCGGTTGGTGAAGAAACACTGGCCTGGAATTAATTAACTTGAGACGATTTATGACCAAGAAGGACAGGCTGCATTGTTCCTCAGGAGTAAGGACCTCCTTCATTAGCATACTCATCCTTCCATGAACAACCCTTAACTTTTAGGTACCTCTCTTAAAGCGAACACTTAATGGTTAAAAGTTTAAAATTCGTTCATTTTTTTAAAATAGTGCATCTCCCCCTTCTCTTAAAAACATTATATCTTTATTTACATCTAAAACCATTTATTAGATCTAATTAAAAGAAAATATTAATTTTTGGTCATACTTTGTATACAGGATGTCCTGGAAGTAGACAAAAATATTCAGTGTGATAGCGGACCTCAGAATCTCCAAAAAAAAATCATATCAACATTGCATCAATTTTCCGCTGAAAAGAAAGAAATTCAAGTTTATTGATTTTTTTTTTAACGTTTTTTATGAAATAGGAAGGGATAAATAAAAATATACGTCATTTAAGTTATATTTAAAAAAAAAAATCATAATAGAATTACGACACTTTTAGAAAACTTCCTTGTTCAATAAGTTTAAGTCCATGTTAATTAAGTTGAGGACTTATTACAAAATAAGTTGAGATTCATCTTCATTTCGTGTGTAAAAAAATTATGTGTTTTGATATCCTCTAATTTAAAAGTGCCCCTGAGTTCTGCCAAACTTTCCCATGGCCTGGAATGTATTATTATAATAAGCATAATTACATAAATACACGTTTTATTTATCTTAAAAAATATATATTAAAACAATGATTTTTAAAATATTTATCCTCTAAATTGATTAAAACTTTGTTCTCTAATCGATCCGTATTTATAATTGATGAAAAAAAAGTTTCTAGTCCTGATATTTACGTTTTCATAAAAATAATTCATCTTAGCAAATTTATTTATTTTTAAGAATGTTTATTTACAATAATGAGCTATAACCTTAAATTGGTAATGAAGACCCAATTGTAAATGGAAGATATATTTGGATGCAATATTAAAACAATTGAAAATTCAAAGAAGAAAACTCTACCTCCAGCGTAGAGCTTCTTTCCTGATAATGCAACATTCACAAAGAATTATATACTTTATTTTAGAAATACAGATAACTGAACAAATATAAGTTCTCTTGCAACAATACATAGCTTGGCATCAATATCAATTTAATAATTCATTATTAGAGTGCTACCAATGGGTAGTTTCTCAACATTTGTTTCATGTCATTATATCCATGTGCGAATTTACCAAATTTATTTTTTGTATACAGTTGTAAATATCATATAAATAAATAAAATAAAAAAATAACTCATTATTGGAAATAAATATTTCTAAAAAAGTATACCTAATAATTGCTCGAATTATATTCACGAAAACTTTAAATAACAGGATTAGAAACATTTAGTTAGTCACTCATAGAGTATTTCCTAGATTAAGACCGTTTAGTAAAATAAAAAAACATATCACTTTAGATGATAAATATTTGAATATTTTATATTCAAACATATTTTTTATAGATAATAAGTGTATTTATGCAATTATTCTTATTATAATACATTCCAGGTCAAGGGGAAGAATAAATTAAAGCTTCACCATTATTTAAAATTGTAATTTTTGCTGAAAACAGGGGCACTTTTAGGAGACAAGATATCAAATCACTTCTTTTTTTTTCAACTTATTTTGTCATAAACCCGTGGAGTTTATTTTGAAGGGCAACTGAAGCAGTAGTAGGATTTTTGTGCGGTGAAATAATTGCAGTGTCGTCAGCGAAACGATTAATAAACTATAGAAACTATAGAGGATGGTGATAGGGTGCTCCGGAATATCAGATGTGTAGAGAGAAAAGAGAAGAGAACTTAAAACACTACGTTGTGGTACGCCCGCAAATTGAGGGAAAAAGTAAGAAATAGAGTAATCTAAAGAAATACAGAAGAAGCTGTCGAGGAAGAAAGATTGAAGTATAAGAAAACAAGTTGAAGGGGTGCACGGTAAATTAAATTTAAATTTTAGGATTAATATTGATTTGTTTTAACTGTTGCATAGTTTTGTAAAAGACATAGATCCCCTATACCCCACCTGTGGTGTACCGGAGACTGCTGAGTATGTCATAGTCAACTGCACCGCCTTTGATGGACTAAGGGCCGGAATGATGAAAAAAAATTGGAGACTATGGCCTCACGGAGGATGAATTTCCCCAAATAGTAACGAAGCAGAACTACCCGCATTACAAAGATTTTGTGTACGGGTGAAAAACTGCACTGGGGCCCTCACACTTTAATCTGGAAAGAAGAGGACCTGCTAATGGAAGGCCGCCAAACTGATATGGTGAAAAGAAAATGTTGGAAAAAGAAGAGTTTTGAAAAACAAAACGAAATCGTTAAAGTACTTGCCGTTTAATAGCAGGAATGACATAGACGTTGTGATATGCCATCCCTGCAAAATACCGTGTAGCCGAAAGGCAAGGAAGGGAGGAATAAATAAATAAATAATAAAAAAAATAATTGAATTAAAATTGGGTTCCTGATTAATTAGCATATAAATTAATATTATACATACACATATTTAATCAATAAACTAAGTTTATGACTAACGTGAACATACGGCAATCCTAACATATCACTTGATTCATGTTGAATGGAAAGTTGACCGTTGTTTGCGAAGCAGCGATATTATGTATTTTGTACAATGACAGAGCGCTGCTCCGGCTGACTGTCCCCCAATTGATTGCTTCCATTTTTAGATGATACATTCACAATCGAGCATAATTGTTCACCTCCTGATCGATTCTGTCAACATGTTCAATGTATCGACATAATAATTACATCATGTTACGTTAATGTAGTGCAAGCTTGATGAATAGTAGTGCCGAGGATTCGTTCCATTACTGAAGCTCCTTTGTCCCCGATTGTTTAATCAGAATAAAACCACAAATGGCGGTTATATTATATTTCGTTATTTTAATAATAGAATGAACTAAGCACTTTTTTCTTTATGGTTAGTGTTCAATTTGTCTTCTGCTAAAACTACCAATGTTCTTTTTCTATTAAAAAAGTACAATTAGGAAAATCAAATTATTTTAAATGAAAATCTAATAATATGGTTTTATATCTATGTCACGTTATTGAAACAAATAACTTTTTATGGGATTTATATTGACATATTATTAGGTATAGTAATGTTACACCCGATAAAAGAAAATATCTATATATATTTATTTTATTTTATTTTATTTTCTTCCCTACCCTGACTTTAAGACAATATGGGAGTTTGCAGCAGTGACTTGTACACATTGCATAACAAATCACTGTTGCAAGTTTATCTTTTTACATTTTTACATTGCTGTGCACACTTCATAATTTTGTCTCTTATTTTA